CCTTGGGTAGACCCTTAAAGACTAAGAGCAGATCCATAGTTCCGAGATATACGTACACCACTTTGCTTCTCATTGATGTTATTTATGAGCGACACTAAAAAGAGAATTGAGACAAATTGAGCACAGTTGGAGGAGCGAAAAATAACCCTCCATTGTATGTCAAACTGTGCCCTTTTCACGTTTCGACAATGTGAGTCAATGCCTGGGGACCGTGAGCCTTCGTAAATCTCACCGTGCTTAAAGGTTCATGCGATGCTTGGGACTTCATGCTTTGCTATAAGTTAACCTGCCGGCCAAAAGCTGAGAGGCCTGGTACACGCTTTGGCAGGCTGTGACTTTCGTGTCAAAATTTGTTTTGAGATGACATAATTAGCGTTAGACCTCCTTTGCCAGTACCAAAATGTAATAATAGGGTTTTCCCCCTTTTTTCTGGCAACAAAACTGAAACCTTTTTACGAGGATTCATGTTACTGCATTAACCACAATACCTGCAGTCAAAATGCAAACAAAAACCATACTATGATCATATATGCATTGTCCTTGAAACTGATTGGTCCACACCAAGGTTTCAGTTTTGTTGCCAGAAAAAAGGGGACACACGTATTACTGCACATGATGTCCGTGGCACGGCTTAGCTTCCGCAGTGACAAAACTGGGATCCTTGTAGAGCTGTGCCAGGCTGGTTCAGGCATGGCCTCAGCATGGCACAGTGGAAACGAATGTACTTTATTGTTGTGTGGATAAGTTTCTACTGAACATTATTTGATTTGTAAATGCATACATGTCTGTATGACATTATGTCCTTTGTTTTTGCAAAGGTAACACATTATATTGGCCAGTAATTTGCAACGTTGTCAATTGATTATTCTTTATTCTTTGTGTTCCAGAAAACATATTTTTATGCTACTCTTTGAAATGTTGCTACTCTTTGAAATGTATACATATTTTATAAGACATCCACAATTGAGAAATACTGGCAGTTATATCTGAAACACACAAACACCAATCATCCTGTAGTTCCAGTTTTGGAATTGTAAATTCGGGGTGTGGATCGATCACTTTATTTCTGAGCTGTTGACTCAACATACAAATAAATGTGTGATAGTTTTGAGTAGTAGGGCTCCATCGCTTTCATCATAACATGTTAAATATTGCATTCAGTTTCATGTTTGCGGTACGGGCAGACACACACAGGCGGATTTCCTGGAGGACTCTGCAATCAACAATTGTCCCATTAATCTATAAAGGGTTGCTTTGCGTCCAGTTTGTGATACAATGCAGTAATGTTGACACTAAAGATCACTACGGAAGTAAATGATGACGATGATAATAATAATGGATTTTTACTTTTCTTACTTTGCAGGTCACCACTAGTTTGTATAGGTTTGGAGAAATTAATGGCATTTGGACTTGGCACAAATATTCCGCAATCATAATGCAAACGCTATTGTTCAAAGCCTACAGTAGAGACATGCTTTGAACAGTTACCATTTATACGCATGGAACATTTCCATTATAAATAAAAGAATACGTATCCTCAGATGATTTTGTTTACGTGTGCAGGAGCAGCCGCGTATAAAAAATACTAGCGGGAAGTATCTGGCGTTGCCCAGGCGAAAAAACACACACACACATCGACTCACATGCACATCGACTCACATGCACATCGACTCACAAACACATCGACTTACACGCACATATGGACTTACACACGCAAACACATTGATTCTGACACACACATTGACGCAAACACACATGGATTTACGCACACACTTCGACTAACACACACACACATACACATCGACACACACATACATCGACCCACACACAGACACATTGAATCACACACACACACATCGACTTGCACACACACATGGACCCACGCACACACATCGACTTACACACACAAACATCGACTCACACACACATAGACTTACACACACATCGACTCACACACACAAATATGGACTTACACACACATCGACTCACACACACATATGGACTTACACACACATATGGACTAACACACATCAACAACCGCCATTCGCCACTAAGTGGCGGTGACGTCACCACGACGCTTGTGCCAGGCGATGTGCACCTTGAGGCCATGTGAAGTGTCGAACGCCCGCTGGCAGATCATGGGGCAGACCCAGATGCCACAGGTTGACTGAGACGACTGGCTGATGCACCACCTGTGCCCCCTACCGTGCCAACCTGCTGTGCTTTAGCCACCCAGCGCTCGGCTCGTTGTTGTGAACGTCGCTCCTCCGCCTTCCGTTGTTGTTGGAGGGGGACTGCCTCCAACTGCACAGTAGCGTCGTTCACGAGCCTCCTCCACAGAGGCCGATCTTGACACCGCTGGTACCAGTCATCGGCAAGTCCACTCAGCTCCACATCCTCCTGTACCACATCACTCCATCTCTTCTCTAGCCCGCGCCGCGCCCGTTTAGCCCCCTCGATCTGGCCGAACAAAAGCTGTTTAGGCATGTGGTAGCTGGGTATGCGGGCTGTATGACCCAGCCAACGCAGCCTTGCCTGCCGGAGGAGCTCACTGATGGGACTTTGTTCACGACTTTCAAGCATTTTTGAGCTGCTCACACAATCCAGCGTGGTTAAACCCAGGATTGATCGAAGGCAGGCCAGCCTAAATGTTTCTAACCGGCGAAGAAGTTCCATTAGGAGGGGTCCATATTTCGCAAGCGCAGAGAAGGGAGGGAATGACTGTGGCCGAGAAGACCTGAAGCTTTGTGCGGAGCGATAGACCAGGTAGCTTCCACACAGCGTTACGCAACCGATGAAAAGATAATGCCGCTCGACTGATTCGGAGTGAGACCTATGCTGTTCAACTGGAGCCGGTCATGAGCACACTGGCAAGGTATGGGAAACTCTCCACTCTCTCCACAACTGCCCTATCACCAATTGGGAGTTGTGGGGGTGGAGTGTCCGATGGTACAAAATACCCAGGCAGGTGCTTAGTTTTGGTGGGGCTGATGGTAAGGCCACACCTCCTCTGAGTAAGCAGCAATTACCAGATTATCAGCAATACACAACATGGTTGAGCAATAGGGAGCCATCCCTTGACCGCACCCGGGCATCGATCAGCCTCCCATTGTATCTGTACCATTATTATTTTAATGTATTTATAACTACGTGACTTTACCGAAAGAACAAGGAGTATGGATTCCTGCAGTCCCGAAAGCTTCAAATTAATAATAGCACAAAATTGTTAATTTAACTACTTTAAAGTTGACAGATGGGAAAACGGAATAGCGCTGGCTCACCACGGGGCTTACACGCATGGTGCCTGGCTACTTTTCTTAAACGTAAACCCCACGGTTTGCGAGCCAAATCCTTCGCAAGTGTGCGTCCACAGACAGACGGACAGATAGACAGCCGGACAGACAAAAATGCCTTTTATTGGTAAAGAAGATTGTTTGACATGCATTTCGTACAATGCATTTCGTATCACATTTTGGAACGGATGGTGCAATGACCAGGGACTAATGGGCAAGATTTTATTTTTATTTGCTCAGTGTAATGCAATCGCGTATGAATGTTAATGAATATGGCGAGCCACGTTTGCCTGGTGGAAACAGAGTGAAGTGTATGAAGTACATCCATTGCACTCATCGCATGTGTGAGTGTTGAACACAAATAACTTTTACAACAACAAAAAAATCACATCGGGATTGCTTCATCCAAAAGAAATGTAATCATCACATGACATTTGCAGGAGGACAAAAAGCAGGTTTATATAACATTAGACACCCGCCATCGAGTCTTCCTTCTCTCGTACGGCGTTTGAACAAAGCAATTGGCTACATATACATCTAGAGTAGCTGAGGGGAGGCCAGACGTTCCACGTGTTATATTGGACAGTCATTAGTGATATGCGCCCAATGGTTTGCACCTCATCTCATTCGCTGGGAACGCGGGCTTAAAAGGATGCCTTGCATTGGTATTTTATCATGAGACAAGAAGAACTCTCACAACATCATTGGGTACAAATACGATTTCTGTACACTTGAAATGAATAATTAGCGTATTTCAAATGTTTACGTGGGGTTTGCATCTCGTATTTTAAGTATGTGTCAACCATTTTTTTTTGCCTTTTGTACGCTTTTGAGTTCGTGATATTTCAGTGTAGCTATAATTCTGTATTGTATCATAATGGGACCTCCTTTGCCAGTACCAAAATATGATTAAAGGTTTTTTCACATTTTTTCTGGCAACAAAACAGATGTTAAGATGTTAAAACACCAAACTGAAACATTTTACAAGGAATCATGTCTGCATTAACCACAATGCTTGTGGTCAGAATGCAAAAAAACACTCTGATAATATATGCATTGTCCTCGAAACTGATTGGTCCACACCAGAGACAGCTTTCTTTTGAGCCTCGCCTCAAACGGTGTTCGACCAGAGGACGCCAAAATGCATAAAGCCCACAGACAATGCACTATCTGTATTGTAGTGTAAATATAATCAACTGGAGTGGAGTGGTGGCGCAGTGGTTAACGCATCACTGTACGAACCCCATCACCTGAGTTTGATCACCATCTACATTTCACAAAAGTGGAGTGATATCTAAACCAGTTCGGTACCTTCTCCGCCCCCTCACTGACCCACGCTGCCCAGTTTGAAGTATGCACAAACAACCCACATGATTTACATTGAGACCTAATTTGCCAGTAACAAGATATAGTAATAGGTTTTTACCCTTTTATCTGGCACAAAAACTGACACCTTTATACAAGGGATCATGTTTGCAATAACCACAACACAAGCAGTCAAAATGCAATACAACCTATTACTATATCTTGTTACTGGCAAATGAGGTATCATAATGTAAGTGCTTACCCCGAGCTCTCAATACTCTGATGGTGCGCTGTTTTTGAGTTGTACGCCTTTTGGCGTCTTCTGGTCCAACACCAATTGAGACTAGGCTCTAAGAAAAGCCGTCTCGGGTGTGCACCAATCAAATTCAAGGACAGTGCATTTTATTATCAGAGTTGTCTCTTGTTTGCATTTTGACTGCTTGTGTTGTGGTTATTGCAAACATGATGCCTTGAATAAAGGTGTCAGTTTTTGTGGCAGAAAAAAGGGTAAAAACCTATTACTAAACCCACATGATTATAATGGTGAGGCAGTACCTCAATCCAGTAGTGTATTAACAAAGGACTTTATAACAATATTATTAGAAATATTAAACTGTATCACCAACTAAAAGTATGTGTATCTCTAGTCCCTTAGAATGTTACAACCTCTAGTTTGGAAACTACAGGATTAATCACACACATTCCTTGTGTGTGTATATATTAAAATGATTAAATAACACCTGGAGTATAATTTTTTTCGAAAATAGTAACATTTCCATCTGAAGAGACAAGGAATAAACCGTGTAAAACATGCAAAACCTCTGAACTTTGTCACAATTGTCACGGCACCTTTCGCTTCAGCAATATTTGAGCAAAGCGGCCAAAAGTTTCTCCGCTCGCTGTCCGGATACATTCAAAGGTTGGGTGGTCGAGTTTGGTGAAAAACGCACATTCAAAAAAACGAATCATCGTAAATCACGGCTCAGCTTCGGATGAACACAGCAATGAAGACGCAGCCCAAGAGCGCGACGGCCGACCCCGAGATCGCCACGACCACCACGCTGCCAACGGCGTTGACGATCGCGCCGAGGCCGGCGCCGACCAGGATCTGCGCCAACTGCACCATGCACGTGAGCGCCGCGCAGTCCAAGCCGGCGCCCCGGTGCGCGGCTTGGACTGCGCCGCCAGACTCGCCCACGCTGCCGAGCTGCGCCATCTGTAAAGCGCAACGCAGCACGGCACGGGCGGGCAGTAGGGTGGGGTGGGGGGGGCAACAGGTGAACGCTTTTGTTAAGTCGCGCGTGCGTGCGTTTCGTCGTACGATCGTGACCGGTTTGCCGATGTCGTGCGTGGAGTGACGATGGAGGGATTTGGGGGAGGGCATGGAGGAGAGGGTTGTGTGTGCAATCCGTTCACATTCGTTGTATTATTTTGTAAATATATTTAGAATTGTAAAAGCTTTTTTTTCATGGGGTGTTGACATTTTTGTGATCTTTCAATTTGGCGCTGTATAAAAAATAATTACGTGCCATGTACTAGGGCTGAACGATTTGGGGAAAATATGTAGTTGCGATTTTTCTGACAGATATTGCGATTTGATTTGTCATTAAGTTTTTTTAAAGTCAGGCTTCAGTTCAATATTCACTGTGTAACAGATTTAAAACATGTGATGGAGCATTAGCACATGATACCATCAAAATATGAACTGCTCTGTATATTATAATGCAAGGATGAGAATTTAAAATATATGAATTGCTTCCAACATGTATTTTTTATTGAAATAGACCAATCAAACATAGAATTGTTAAGCTAAATAAATTTACAATAATTCCAATAATAGGACTTTTAAAATGCCAAAAATCGCAGCCTTTGCTATTTGCTAATCGCATTGTTTCAAATGCGATTTCGATTTGAAATCGATTAATCGTTCAGCCCTAGTGTATACCCACAGCATGTCACCTTGTAATGCACATGCACTTAATCACACTGGTGCGCCAGTTAAAAGTGTATTTCCAGTGTTTTGTTGCCTTATCTAAAAACTGTACAGAAGATCTCGCAATGGTATTGGTAAGCTTAGCTGTCACTGAAATTGGTCCAGACATTCTGGAATATTTGTGATGATATTTGAAGTGTCCCTGGACAAATGGAAGGACAATCTCAGGAGTGCCTATTGGATCCACTGAAAACAACAGCTTATGACACGATGGCTTTGGAACCTTATTTCATAAGCCTCATAGCGTCAGGAGACACTGGAGGGGCCTGAGACTCTCCAACTGCCTCACCTGCTGAAGAATTTGCTCCATTACTAAAAAGCTATCGTCAAGTCAAAGCATTTTCCTATAAAAAGCAATGGGCGTCATAGCCTTTCCCCATATACATAGTAAGTCAGAGCTAAAGTAGAATGCACTGAAGGCCAAAGCAGATCGTATTGTTACTCATCTATTCAGTGATTAACATGTGGTTAAAGTTTAACATTGACTGTGCCGAGCCACGGTGTTGGCACAAGTCTATAATCCAGCACCGTGGAGGTCAGTGTTGGCGGATCGTGACATACGTTGTGGATCTTCCTTCCCACGGGCGTCAATGTACCATACCCTAGCTTGCCAGGATAATGCAGTGCAGTAAATGTGGACTCCAGGTGTTCCATCTGTACGGGGATAGAGTGTTGCCACTCACACTCGTGGGTTTTCTCCGAATGCTCCAGTTTCTTCCCTCATGTAAACACTAATTGGTTGAGAACACCTTAATATATAGAGGACCGCAGAGCTTTGGAGGGTGGAATTTGGCACCAGTGCACCGCATGGCTGCCTTACCTGCTTGTCTATGGTTCTTCACACTTCTGAGTCGTTCTCTCTTCCTCTCTCTCTTCGAGTGAGTGAATATTGTACGCATCCCAAGTTGAAAAATGTATGATTTACCTGGACTCTTTTAAATAGTTGTTTTGCTTTGGGTGCTTGGCCAACAAATTGTACAAGTTCAGGATTTTAAAAATGTGTGACCCCTGCAGCCATTAGAGGCCACTACATTCACCACATATATATTGATTTATCATTTAAAAAAATGTTTTCAGTTGTAAAAGATTATGCCTTTTAGAATGGACAAAAGCATGTAAGTATTATTTGCAGAAAAATAGGAATGTGTTATAACATTTTATAGCTATTGGAGGTATGTTCTCATAAAAGATGGACTCTCACAAGCAGCATATCAAGTCGCATAGCTCAAACATAACATTTGCAGGGAAAGATAACATTTATTTTTCACATTCTCAGTTTGTGTGCTATGCTTTAGTCCAGTTTTAAATCACGTGCATTGTGAAAACACGTCTACTTTTTATTTTTTGAATTGTTAAGCCAGGCCTGGCCAAGATTTTTTTTCACCCAGGCAACCGGAGAGCACTTATTATTTACTTATTGCTATAAAAAAAAGATTAATTACGTATATATAAGAATGAACTATTTTAAAAATAAAAAATACGTATACAAGCAAGACAATTAATTAAAATATTTAAAAAACCTAGTGAAGCTGACAATAGTATTAATAGTTATTGGCTTAAAGCTTTCGTGACTGCAAGAATTCCTACTCTTTGGGTCTTTCGGTAAAGTCACGTAGGTAGAAAAATAATAAAATAATAATAAATCACGACGTTTCGATCGCAACACAAGCAATCGTCCTTAGGTGAAAAAATACAGCAGGCGGACTGCTGAGGCAGGAATAAATATAGCGAGAGAGCTACTGCAGGCCAGAGGTTATCAAGGTTTGAGATGGGTACAACCCAAGGGTAAGTGGGCGGGGCTAGCGATGGAATTTGCAAGTAAATGTAAGATCGCAGAGCTAGGTATACCTCGGCCATTGTATTGCTATAAATTAGCATGTCAGTCTGTTAATGTAACCCCACAGTTACGGTGCTGAAGAACGCCATTGTATTGCTCGAGATTAGAGATTAGCGTGTCAATGTGAGACGGCTCCCGCAGCAGCGGCTGTGTTAATGAGAGAGACATTCTGCCTATTAAACAACGAGCGACACCGCCGCATCGAGGAAAAGGGAGCAGCAGCTATGTTAGTGAGACATTTAGCCTGTTAATGTAAAGACATTTAACAAGGTAATGTAACTCAGAGAGTCGGAAATAACTGCAAACATAGGCAGGTAGGATGGAAGCATCACAGCCATTTATGACTTTACCTGGTTAATAACGTCCTTCCAATGATTGCTCAGTTTGTACCCATCTTCTCGGTTGAAATTGTGTCTGTGTTTATATATCTGGATGGCTTCATGAACAAATCTTTGTTGATAACCAGTGGATTTGCAAAGTACCTTCGTCTTGGAGAAATCAATTTCATGTGTGCCCACAGCGTTAAAACAATGATCAGCCACGGCAGAGATGTTGGTCTTACCGTGTTTCAGATCCGCCTTGTATTTGCGAACACGGTCTGAGACATGTCGCTTAGTTTCCCCAATGTAACTACTGCCGCAGACACAGCTTAGTTTGTAGACACCAGGGTATTGCATGTCACAGATGGGATCAGATCGCGAATTTTATGTACTATGCTGAATCGGACCTGGATCTTGTGTTTGCTCATGATTTTGGAAATATTTTTTGTGACCCCTGCTATGTATGGCAAGGTGATGGTTTTGATTGGGTCCTCAGGTGGTTCACTCCCAACGGTTGGGGTGACAGCTTTACGGGTTGTGCAATCCGAAAATCCATTCATCTTGAGGGCTTGGTGTACGTGCTCCAATTCAATGGCTAGGTGTTGATGGTCGGAAATGCAACAAGCCCTATGGTGTATAATTTTGATGATCATATTGTCTCGGACATGATTCCAACATCGTGCCAGGCTGCTGTTGAAAACACTGGCAGAACCAACTGATCTCCAAGAGTAAGACTCACAATTTAACTGCAATTCATGAACGCTTCAGTAAAATCATTCAGTTTTTTATTAATTGTAGCATTCTAGATTTGACGCTTTAGTAACTGCAAGGATTCATACTCTTTAGTTTTTTCGGTAAAGTCACGTAGGTAAAATAAAATAAATGAAAACTAAATTAAATCACGACGTTTCGGAGGCAACACAAGCTTCTGTCTTCAGGTGGAACAGTCACAGCAAAATAGCTGTATCAAGTGAAGAGCTCTGAGACACCCGAGATTATATACAGGTTAAGGCGGGGGGGAGAAGCCAGGAAGTGACGTGAGTGGGGAGGGGCTAAGTTAAGCCGCCTTTTGTTATGCTGCAGGGGGTTCGGGGGAAGCGGTGGTGCACTGCACGAGAGTACAACCACTGGTAGAAATGGAAATGGCTGTACAATTATAAGGTAGCTAAAGTTTGACTTGGTTGATGACATCTTTCCAATGGTTGCTCAATTTAAAACCATCCTCTCGGTTGAAGTTGTGTCTATGTTTGTATATCTGGATGGCTTCATGGACAAATCTTTGGTAATGACCGGGAGGTTTGCATAGTACTTTGGTATCGGAGAAAACAATGTCATGAGAACCCGCTGTGTTGAAACAATGATCAGCCACGGCCGAAGAATTCGTTCTGCCGTGTTTCAAATCTGATTTGTGCTCCCAAATTCGGTCAGAAATATGTCGTTTCGTCTCCCCGATATAGCAGTCACCACAGGTACAACTCAATTTGTAAACACCGGGGTACTGTAAGTCAGGAATGACATCCTTTACAGATGGGATCAGATCACGGATTTTGTGTACTGTATTGAACCAGACCTGGATCTTGTGTTTGTTTAGAATTTTGGAAATCTTTTTGGTAACGCCTGCTATGTATGGCAGTGTGATGATTTTGATCGGACTATCAGGTGGTTGTTTCTGTATGGTGGGAGAAACAGCTTGGCGGATAGTACGGTCAGAGTATCCGTTCATCTTGAAGGCCAGATGTACATGTTTTAATTCACTGGCCAGGTGGTGTTGGTCAGAAATGTAATGAGCCCTATGGTATAAGGTTTTGATGAGAATGATTTTGAGCCGGGTGGTGGTGGGACTCAGGCTTCAAGTAGGACTCTGTGTGGGTGGACTTCCTGTAAACAGAATGTCCCAAAGAGCCATCAGTCTTCCTCTCAAACAGAACATCCAAGAATGGCAGCTTGCCATCTTTCTCCACTTCCATGGTGAATTTGATGGATGGGTGTCTGGAGTTGATGTGGTCTAGGAAATGGTTCAAAGCTGGAAGGCCATGTGGCCAAATGACGAAAGTGTCGTCTACATCTCTTCCACAGGGAAGGACGAAGGGTGGATGTCTGGATGGCGTCCGATTCTAATTTCTCCATGAAAACATTGGCTATCACTAGTGACAAGGGGGACCCATAGGGGTACCCTCATTTTGTTTGTAGAAGGTACCATTCCAGGTAAAGTAAGTGTTGGTGAGGCAGTGCCTAACCAGCACAGGTACATCAGGGTTCAGTCCATGTTGGATCAAATCTTCAATTATTGTTATAGTGTCAGGCACTGGGACCTTGGTGAACAGAGAGACCACATCAAAGCTGACGAGGATATCGTCAGGAGATAGTACAATGTCCTTGACCATAGAAACCAATTGGGTTGAGTTAAGTACTGCTGAGGTGGTCTTGTCAGTGAAGGGAAGCAGAGTATCTGATAAAAAAACGAGCTAGCTTGTAGGTAGGGGAGTTGATCGTGGACCCGATGGGTTGTAGTGGGGTCTTGCAGCCGAGGGTTTTAGGGAGGGACGTTTGGTTGGGTCGATTAGAGAAGTCGAACTAGTGATGATCTTGTTGGTTTTTATCGTTAGGCTGTTAGTAGGATCACTTTTAATTTTTGAGTAACTCCCATCATTGAGTAGGTCCTGGATTTTGTTGTTGTACGAGTTTATCCATAATGACAGTGGCATTGCCTCTGTCAGCCGAGAGCAACCATTGGAAAGATGTCATCAACCAAGTCCAACTTTAGCTGCCTTATATTTGTACAGCCATTTCCATTTCTACCAGTGGTTGTACTTGCTCTCGTGCAGCGCGCCATCGCTTCCCCTGAACCCCCTGCAGCATCACAAAAGGCGGCTTAACTTAGCCCTCCCCTCCCCATCCACGTTCCTTTCCTGGCTCCTCCCCCCCCCCCCCCCTTAACCTGTATATAATCTCAGGTGTCTCAGAGCTCTTCACTTGATACAGCTATTTTGCTGTGACTGTTCCACCTGAAGCTTGTGTTGCCTCCGAAACGTCGTGATTTAATTTAGTTGTTTCCATTTATTTTATTTTACCTACGTGAATTTACCGAAAAAACCAAAGAGTATAATTGTAGCATCTTCGTGATAATAATTCCAAATATGTACCCCAGGGAAACCTCACTGAGTGTCTATTTTTTTTCAGAGGGCCCTGTATTGCCATGGTTGGCCTAATACCATGAATGCGCACCTTGGCTTCATGTGGATTGCTAATGAATTTAGCCATGTGGAAGTAAACCAACGAGGGGGAAACAATCTGCACTGCCATCTCCTGGCCATCTCAAGGCCCCAAGGCCTGGCAAAGCCATGGTGGTCAACTCCACCGTTCGATGAGCACTGCACCTCTGATTAGCACAACACACCTCCAATTTGCACAGTTGGCTAGATACGGTGCAAAAGAAGTTCAACATATGTACGACTCCAATGTCTGATATTAGATGCATTTAGGTTGATGTGGTCTTTGCAAAAACGCAATAACATAATTACGCACACTAAAAATATCTGCTCACAAACAACGTGCTTCCAGTATTCATATTTTCGTAATAATGTAAGTAATAATAATGGTGCTACATATTCAAGTCTCTCCTCTTAAGAATAGGTCTCCTGTCGTATCCAAGCTGATAACTATGTTTTATTTTACCAGGTAAGGTCCACTGAGCTACTATAAAGCGATTTTTCAGAAGCAACCTGACCACAAATGATAGCTCAACGGAGTGTCTTATTGTGTGAACATTTTTATAGCAGCCAAAAACACCAAACACGTGTTTCTAAATGTCGAGGGGGAAAACCGGAGGACCCGGAGAAAAACCCATGCGGCTACGGGGAGAGAGACACGCAAACTCCAAATATACAGGGGTCAGGGTCAGGATCGAACCCACGACGTCCTGCATACCACGCGAGGTAATTAACATCTCGGCACCATGGTGCTCTCTCTCACATGCAGGCAGTTATGATACTGATCTGTAATTCCTTCCAAATCTTGACCATCCCTGAACCGTTGCAGTGGGGCCGTGTTTATCAATCCTCATACCACGTTTTCAGATTTTTTTTATAATGGAATGTGCGGGCCTGATGGTATGTTTATTTCAAAACCCTGTAATGAGGCAATACTACCAAATGCATTGCTAATGAATTTAGTCATGCATCCGATGCTGTAACATAGGCCCTTTCGCCATTGGTTAAGTCAGAATATTTAATTTGTCTGCCTTCAATTCACGCTGCATGCTTATATTCATATACATAATTGAGCATCTCTGAAATGTTATGAGCAGCCTTTGTATATGTTTTACATGTCGCATTTAATGTAAAATATTGAACTGAAGTCTCTTTTAATCAAATACATTTCCTTTTAAAATTTTCCATCAGTTCCCAGCGCTGTAGCAAGGGAGGCGCCACCCCAAACTGTAGCGGAATCGTTAGAAACGGAGCCGGCAGTTACTGTAGGTTGCTCACATTATTATTGGGTGGAGGGGGGGCGGCACGAGGATATCCCGAGTTACAGCTCAGTTTGTTATTTATATGGACTACTTAAATTCATAGATTATCGTTACTCACTGACCGATTGAACCAAATTCTAATAATGTTCTAGAAGGGCTGGAATGCTTATAACAATTCAGATTTTTTTTTTTTAATAAATGATGGCCTAGTGTTTAGTTGGTTATACTCATAGATCAGAGTCAGTATTAAGTGAAAATTTGCTTTAATTTTCATGCTAAACAAAATTATTTGCCTCTACAGTATGATGCTGCAGCCAAAAGAAAGTGGGGAAAAAGTCCGCTCCCGGATACTTGCAAATATTTATGTCGATGATTGCGTGCAATCAATGTACAGTATATCCTAATTGTGTTAAAGGTCCAGGTAGAGCACTCCATGTTTGTGTTTTACTCTATCCTGCACATCCTTTGTGATTCAAAGGAACATAAATATATATATACCGAAAGACCCCAAGAATATAAATATAGAATTATAAAATTTAAAAAGTATATAAAAATATAAAATTCATATCTGCATGCAATGGTGCTACTGGGAGGTGAGGTTGTAGCGACTTACCTCTTCCTCCAGATGGTATTCTGCAACGAGGCTGTAGGGCACGGTGTATAACGTGCTGGACATGATCCCGAACACCGTGCACAGTGCCAGCGTGGAGTCGATGTTGGGAATGATGGCTATCAGACCAGTGCCAACACCGAAAGCAAAATATCCCAAAAAGTACATGGCTCGCAGACCCAGCACCGGGGTTATCCACTTTTGGCAATCTGCGGCACAAGAATATTAATTCGTGAGTGTTAGCATTAAGCCCAAATACCCCCAACAACATTTAAGCATCGTTTCCACAGTTGCACGGTATTCCTCGCTCGATTGTTTACTGTCAGTTGTGTGCAGATTCACTTTATTTTCATTAAGCCCTCTGTTTTATTGCAAGTGCTGAGTTTCGATCGAGTTCTTGCTGTGTGCGCTGGTTAAATGTTTTAAATGTTGGTGCCTTCTCTGAAGAGAGTAAATGCCTTACGTCTTCGTCACATCACTTGCAAAAAAAAAACCTTCCATAATAAAAAGCAAGTGGCTGTTATTTTTTAAATGCAATTATTTCTTGCAAAGTGACATCGTAGCATAAAAAAAATCTAAGTTTTGGCATTACGCTCTGCACATTGAGTTTGACTTTTGGTTTTATATATGGAAAAACTAATTCGTTGAAAATATCGTCGACTCCACAATTGTAGAGCTCTTAAGAAGCTACGCTGATTTCAGCAACTTGCTGTTATGCTACAACTACTCTCCCCGGCGTCACGCTGTGAGCTCGCCCGCTCAAGGGAACACAGCGACCTGACACTCGGCGGTGTCATCACTGTGTGTTCTGCTTCACTGCCCTCAGTGAAAGGCCCCGACTGCTCATACCCAAAGCTGTTTCATTCCACCAACACCCTGAAAGCCAATTACTGCCTACGGACCGCATGCATCCAATAATGTCTAGATATAAACATTGGATGTCATTCATGTTCTTTTGTCAGGAAACCTTCACTTCCGTTGTGACATGCTACCAAGGACATATCATTATACATGGATTTTTTTTTTTCATTTGTTATGGTGATATGCACTGACGTTCCTGGGATTATGTCTCATTACATGTCTAGTTATGCTGAACGCATTTACGAGGGGTCCGGCAGTTGATTTTGTATTCAGCCACGAACAGTTAAGTCAATGAATGCATTGTCGTGTTTATGTGCAATAAAATCACATGTAGCATTAACAAAAATAAGGCTCTTTTTAGAAAGTTTGTGATTTGCAATTTTGGAATCGTCAGTAAAAAAATTCCTGAGCTTAAATATTTACAGCTTATCACCATATGAATAATTTTAGAAATTGGCCAATTAACGAAAAACTACAGGAGTTGATCTGCACAGCATCGAAATGCGACCCGTATCTCAAGGTGATGTAATGGAAAACTTATTTGTAAATAACATAAAAAGAACTGCAATTATTCTATTAATTGCCATTTTACATCAAATCAAACTTTTAAATTAATGAAAATTATTTAAATGAAAGCAATCAAGTGAATAGTGCCACATTGTGGCATTTGTATACAGAATTAACTCACGCTAAAATAGTCAACATTAAGTGCGATTCACTCGCTAATTTAGAATTATTTTTTTACAAACTCATCATGACGAACGTTCGTCATCATCAGCCATGAGCTATCCACTGGTGGCTGAAGGTATCGCAATGCCGTCGCCATCCCACACGATCTTATGATTCCACAGTTCATCTGACTTCTCCACATGAGCTGATATCATCACTTAATCTCAACAGGTTGTTCTCTTGGCGAGTTGTCGCTCCTTTGTTGCCTCTATGTCGCCAGTCGCATCCGTTAACCATCGTTCCGTTGAGCGAGTTGTCCTGCCCAAACCTAGAATTAGATTTCTTCCCCCTGATCCATGCATTCCTTTTACCTGTCTCAAAGTGGAATGCCAAGCATGCATCTCTACTACTTCCATGGGCAATTTTCTACTTTTGTTCCATTTTCTTTGTCGGTGTCCAATTATTTCAATCCATACGTTATCGCAGGTATTATGGTCTCGTTAAAAAATGTTTCTCTACGCACGTGGGCGTACTGCTTTTCATGTTTAAATTCCTCTTTTTCAACAGTACTCAAACCTCCTGTTCCTCTCATCATTTTTTATACCGGGATACCTTCAAATCCTAAATGGTGAATATATTCTATATTTTTGTGTATACCTTTATTTTACCGAGTATTTATTTGTAAACATTTCTAACTTCACTGTGAATAACTACAGAGAGAGTATGTCTCTATTTGCCTGTATTTATTTTGAACTTCTTTCGCACCATACGTAGTCAACCGCGCTAATCAGAGGTGCGGGGGAAGGACAACAAACGTATCGCAAAAAGAAGTTCTAAAGAAAGTGGTTTAAAATCTAGATTTAAAAGTGCATAGCTTCAGTGGTTTCCTAATATTGGAAGGAAGAGCGTTCCAGACTGCTGCAGAAACCCATCTGAAAGTACACGATGCAGTGACCAAATTTGTGCGATGTCTCGCTATAAGTCGTTGTGAGGATAACTGGAGTTCGCATGATGGTTTATGCTATTTGACAAGATCCGCAAGGTATTGTGGTTCATGTATTGTGTTACTTTCTTGATGCAATCTCGGTGTAGCTGTTTTATTTTTTGTAAATGGGTTTTATAACTTCAAAATTATTTAAGTTCGGCCTTGGCTTGCGAAGCCCTTGGATCACTGCATCGATTTGCACCACAAGCCAAATGCCTTTTTCATAGTCTACAAAGGCTACACATGTTGGTCATTTGTGCAAATTCTTCCGTTCCAGAATCTAGTGTAGGTCAGCTGAGATGTGGTTGGCCTGTTCATGCGGATTGCTAACCTCTCCCACGTCAGCAAAAAAAAAATATTCTTGCTGTGGTTTCCCACCTGATGATGATTGCTTGTGTTGCGCCTGAAATGTCGTGATTTATTTGATTTTATACCTGGGTGACTTTACCGAAAGAACCAAAGAGTATGATATTTCGTTGTTGATCTTTCCAATGTTCATGCAATCTACGGTCTTCATATCCGTGGATGTATAATTTTTTAAGTCAGTTTCATCACGAACGATCGAAGTACCTTTCTACGTATTTTATTTCTGTCAACATTTAGTCACAAAAACAAGTTTACTGCTTAAAGTTCCAACAACTGATCTCACTTCTTTCATTGGAGCCTACGGTTATCCACTCAAGCTTTCCCCTTTTCCATATTGGCAAGTGCGTTACTTCTTCCAAGTGTGACCACTGGGAATTTCTCTCCTCTGCATGTGAAAAATTGTGGGATACTTTGTTGTTGTTTTTGCAAAAGAGACTTGCATGATCTTCATCCACAGAACTAAGTAATAGCCATGGTGGAAAGCATGAGAAGAGACATCTGAAAACATGCAACAAAAAACGTGTGAAGATGTCACAGCAAACATTGGAGGCACGAAATCATAAAAACCACGGTTAATGATTGGCAATTCACAATTGGTTACCCTTCACAAGAATGATGGAACCATAACTCATCATTGCGATAAAATCCGAAGAATTAGGCGCACAATATTGACAGCGATTGAAGGTTATAATTGCGTCATAATTAAATCTTGACTTAAAGCTTTCGTGACCGCAGGAACATAATCTTTGGGTCTTTCGGTAAAGCCACCTGATGACGATTTCTTGTGTTGCGATGGAAACGTCGTGATATTGTTATTATTTAATTTTTATTATTTTTTCTATCTACGTGGCTTTACCAAAATACCCAAATAATGTTTCATAATTGTTGCAATTACATCTTTATTTTTTTTAGATAACCAAGCTTTGTAAAAAAAAAAATCACTGTACGCAATAATTGTTTTACTGTTAAGTTGATTTCTTTTTTTCAGAAAGGTATCCAACACAGTTGTATTCATTTACACTTAATGTTTACAGTCATTAACAAATAGCAATTGCTCCAACAAACATGTCGCAATACTCTTTGGTTCTATTCGGTAAAGTCACGTAGGTAAAACAATTTAAAATAAATTGAAATAAAATTAAAGAAACAATTAAGACACGACGTTTCGGAGGCAAAGCAAGCTTCCGTCTTCAGGTGGGACCAGTCATGTCTTAATTGTTTCTTTCATTTTATATCAATGTATTTTAATTTGTTTTACCTACGTGACTTTACCGAATAGAACCAAAGAGTATGAATCCTTGCAGTCACGAAAGCTTCAAATCTAGAATTACATGTCGGAATATTTGCGTGGTCAACTTCAGCAGCGATCGTTATTTTAAGCGGCAATAATAATGGTGATAAACGCGCTTTGCTGGCGCTCACACGAGTAGATGGCAGAAGACAGAGCGTTGATGCACATCCCCCAGCACCCAATCTCAACCCCGTCCTCGTACAGCCTGTACTCGGAGGAGGTATGCTTGGCATATGGATCTCCTTTATAGACAATCTGTGGCACAAAATCCCAATGACGTTGGTCATTAGGGGGGAGGTGGGAAGAAAAATATACACCAACAACAAATGAAGCAACGGTTTATTTGCAGTTAATCCAGATGGCATACAGGATGAATGCGTGTACGTTGAAATGAATTTAGCATTTCTGGCATTGCTACTGTCTTGAATTCATTTTTGTGATAGACTATAGACTAGCATCCTTTGAATGTGACAATCCATCCGTCCCAGCTAGCCAGCCAACAAAACTTGTATCTTTCAGAGTCGTGTCTCGACCTTTTCTTTCCTTCTCTGTAATGTATATTCTAATTTATCTTGACTTCTCATTTTGTATTTTTCTGTTTCTCAATTCCTCTGTTCCCTCTTCTACCTCTCACCCCCTCTACATTCCTCCCCTCGCTCTAATCTACCTCACCCAATTCCCTCCCCCCGATATCTCCCTCTGTTTCTCTCTCACTTCTCACCCTCGATCCCCTTCTTCCCATCTCCCCCTTTCCCATCTCAATCTATCTTGACTCTTCCTAATCCTGCCTGCCACTGGTTGTCGCTGTCCTCCGCTCCCCTCTTTCCGTTTTGCTCACTTTCTTTCCTCTCCATTTCACGCCCCATTTCACTCTCTTCACGCCCCTCTCCACTCCGTTACTATCGTCTCCCCTGTTTCTCTCTCCTCTATCGCACTTGAGTGTGATACACATCCGGAATAGGGGCTGAGGGGGAGAGGTGTGATATTGCCGCGACGCATGAGCCGGACTCAATGCCGTGGGATGTGGGTGGCGTCTTTACCCGAATATGTGCGGTGACATTACCACGTGCGCACCTGCGTGTCAGCCAACCAGGAATCGAGCTAGGCAGCCAGGAATCCAGCCAGCAAACATTTTTTTTAATATAGTATTAAAACTGTTCAATTCCACAATGAGCCACATTTAATGTTACGTAATCTTGCTTACACTTTAGTAGACAAGTGGAATGTATTTAATGCATATTAGATACATAATATAACCACAAACTTTAATGGATGTATTTTATATGACCGTGATTCAAGCGCAGTAACACATGTGTGAGCCTTCGTGATATATTGCTTAAATGCCAGCCTAATGAAAGCCCTCATTAATAATAATCTTAATTAATCCTCATTTCACGTTCATTTTTATCAGGTTCCACTTAACTTTGTGAGCGCATGAATCATGGTCTCTTTTTCCATTATTATTTTCTGTTCAGATGAGCTTGTGTCTGAAGGAGGTGATTAGCATGCCCACATGTTTTACTGCTGCTCCCCATCACTGCTCACTTTGGCACTAAACAAATAAGTGAAACTGAACTATAAAATATATTTAGTATTTTGCCAGGTAAGGCCCACTGAGCATATGTAGCTCTTTTTTAGAAGTTATCTGGCCACAAATGATAGCGCTACGAAGTGGCTTATCACGTGGAAATGTATAGCAGACAAATACTCTAAACGCACATTTCGAAATGTGGAGGGGAAAACTAGAGGGCCCCGAGAAAAATGCACGCGACCACAGAGAGAGACACGCAAACTCCAAATATACAGAGAGAGACACGCAAACTCCAAATATACAGAGACACGCAAACTCCATATATACAGAGACACGCAAACTCCAAATATACAGAGACACGCAAACTCCAAATATACAGGCATAAGGGTTGGGATCCAACCCACAACTTCCCGTATACCAGGCGAGTTATTTAACATCTCGCCACGGTGGCACCCATAAGAGTGAGCGGCTCGCAATTGAAATATCACAAATTCAAATCCTGATTGAGGGTTGACTCAGCCCATCATCCCTCCTGCAGTAGATAAAATTAGTACCTCTTTGTGGGGAGGTCAACAGTGGTTATCCTATGGAGAGACTCCACAAAACAATGAGGACTTTGCACTGCTGGCTCAGGGCTCTAGGCAGGAGATAAGCACTACCTTAATGTTCATTTGACTAATAAATCACATGAATGTAACAACAATGTCAATATTTTAGCTGTCTCTAGGCCAACATTAAATTGTTGAATTGTACATTGAGCAACTATATTTGACCAAGAGCTTACTGTAATTATATGAAAATGATCAATGGTATTTATTTAACCAGCTGAGACTGCATAAATATTTGCTAATTTCGTTTTCTTTCAAGCATATAGCTGCTCATATATATTAAGGGGTTGACAAATACGAGTGTCTATTCATAGATTGATTCAAATATTCTTACATTCATCACTGTTCGTCTCTGGGCAGCTGATATCTCGCTAATGTGCTACATTGGGTATTCATGGCTATACAAACTCCACAACACGGCTGGACAAAGCATTTGTCTAAGCACTCTGATGATGTAAAGCTACAATACAATGCAAAAGTGGATTTACACCGCATCTAAATGCGAACAGTATCTAAAGATGATGTAGAGAAAACGTGCACGTATTTATCCTGCGGACACAGGCAGTTAGTCATAAGCGTAGAGAATAAAAAGAGTCTGAAAAAATGTGTTCTAAATTTATGCTACAGCCCGGTAAACATGCAACGTTGGGCCAACCTTGGGCCTGTGGTTGGAACCGTTGGACCAACCTTGGCCCATCGTCGGACTAACAATGATCCATGTTTACTGGAAGTATATCACAAAAAAAGGGGGATATTCTGGCATGCGACAGCATGCCACAGTGGTGGCTCGTGACAAATGATGAGTGCGAGATGTGTCAAACAGAAATTCGATGTGTGCGCACGCAAGCACACACGCAAGTAAATCCTCATACTCCCAATGATTATCATTTAAGAAAACTAAACAATTAATTATAAAGCTAGTGTATTTAACAACTTTGGGGTCATGATAAGTTGTCTAAGCCACATCAGACTGTTTAAGATGCTTACAATTCAGATTCAAATGCCAAAGGGTCCAACCACCAAACTGAAGCAACTTATCAGAGATCCTAAGTGTATATGTAGTGGGAGAAAATAAAGTAGAGGTCATTCCATCTGGCTACCTTGTTAATGAATGTAAACTAAAACTACCTAAACTATTTTTTTTTATTTTACCAGGTAAGGCCCACCGAGGTTTGTAGCTCTTTTTCAGAAGCGATCTGGCCACAAATGAAAGCTCAACGGAGTTGCCTATCCGCGTGGCAATTTATCACAGCCAAATAGTCTCAAACGCACGATTCTAAATATGGAGGGAAAAACCGGAGGACCTGGAGAAAAATCCATGCAACCAAGGGGAGAATGTGCAAACTTCAAATATGCAGGTGTCAGGGTCGGGATCGAACCTCCTGCATACCTGGTGAGGGGAGTCAAACATCTTGCCACCGCGGGGTTGGGTGAATAGGCAGACAGACAATTGGCGGACGAGACAAGAAGGCATGTTGTTTTTATGGCCGAGTAGTACCTGGCCCATGTAGTCAGTGAAGAATAGCATGATGGAGAGGAAGGCCATCCATCCCAGGAGGTGACTGATGCACAGGCGCCGCAGTGTCCACGGCATGCTGGCGAGGGCACTCAGGAGTCTCCTGAGGCTCATCCGGCGTTGTGGCAGCTGTTTGTGTGCACACGGGCGTGCATGTGTGAGCGTATGCGCGTGACATTCACGCGTTTTGTGTGTGCATGCGTGTGTGTGTGTGTGTTCAGACGAACATTTAAACACGGCACGTAATATATGTATGACAATTCCAATGCATGCGGCACAAAAGCATTGAACTGCGTTTGAAAATACTGCATCTCATTCTTCAAACCAATATGCGCGGATAATGACCGTGAAAGAGTGTAATGAAAGACAACAGAGCTCTCTATCTCAATAGTATGAGAACAAAGACACGTGAGTTATGCGGTCTAATGGCTTAATAATTCAGAGTGAAATGAAGCCCACAGTAGTACATCATGTAAGGGGATACCAATTTAAAATGTGGAGAATTGTCCTGTAATGAGCTCTCCTTCTTTGGATGTGTAGTGCCGTTATTTCACACGGACCAACTTATTTTTTTCCTGTCACTTTAATCGTACAGAACTCATCGCGTTCAACGCCACAAATCTCCGTCTCAACTCTTCCTCTGCTACGCTCCAATCAACTCTCTCGCTCCGCTAGCCTGCTACGTTGCACTTTGCTAGCTTCTCCACTGCTAGCCTCTCACTATACACTCTGCTAGCTTCTCCACTGCTAGCCTCTCACTATGCACTGTTAGTCTCTCACTAAACACTCTGCTAGCCTGTCACTATACACTCCGCTAGCTTCTCTACTGCTAGCCTTCTCACACTCACACTTAGGATTCCGCTAGCCTGTCTACCCTCACTTCTCTAAACCTCGCCCGTGCCTCTAGCAGGGGATCAGCCAACACGGCTGGAGAGGACGAGGTGTGGCATGCACGCGTGCCTTCTCTTGAATTCTCTCTTGTCTTCACTCCAACCAACTCAACCCTCTGCCTCACACGTTCCCCTTTTATCCCCCTCCTCATTAAGTGCCCTCAGATGGCCCTCATTAAGCCGGCGTCTTCCCGACGCCTTTCGCACGTGTTCTCCCCCACGTGTCTCCCCCTTATCGCCACTCTCTCTCGCCTCCGTGGCGCCCACTCCGCGTTTGCATTTGCAGCCAGCCAGTCACTGCCTCTTTCCCTAATTGCTGGCGTCTCTCTGTCTGCTGTCACCCAGGCCACCCGCCTGCACCTGCTTATCCTTATCTGACCTCACTGTCTGGAATCCCGTACATAATGCAATTGCTATTTGCAAACGTTGTCATTGAAATAAGGTAAATCACAAAGATATTCACTAAATTCACAGCATGCCATCTGCATTTATTCTGAATTTTTCAAATAGTTGTGTTATATCTCAAGGCACATCCATATTCAGCGACTTGTGGCGCAAGGTGGTTGCATGCAACTGCAACGCTTATACGCGGATGCCTCTGTTGCCAGTTGTGAGCGGTTGGTTGCACAACCTGTTGCTCACATTAGAGGCAGACTCTACTTTCAATCAACTTGCTCAGTTATTTTTATTGTGATATAGCTCATCAGGTGCACAGTTGCGAACACACAATTGGTTGATCCTTAATTGTCCTTGGGTTGGGCCACGTAGTTCTATCATGCCAGAATTAGTCATTAACCCCTCCATCAGCCGACAAGATTGTCGCATTTACAAAGATATTATTTATACGCGGCAATGTCTTGGTCAAATTCTGACCAAAAAATGTATCCTCACCGGTAGCTTAATACTTTCGTGACTGATTTTAAAATCAACATTCGATGGCGTTTTTTTGCTCAATCTGCTTCGAGTTTCTTCAAGTATTAAACTCGGAAATGGAGTGGGCTGCATCAGCAGATTGCACTTTATATGTTACAAGCATATAAAAAAAGTGTATAAAAACTCTCATAAATATTTAAAGCGTCGTATAAACAACCTACATGGAGCAAAGAGAGATGAATGTACAAAGGTGTGATTATTTATTGGCATCACAGGACCATGGCAGCAATGGTGTGTGGACGCCTTCATCCAGCAGTGGATAGATAGTCCATGGCTGCTACTGTTGCTGCTGCTGCTGGTGATAACGATGTCATATTCTTAGCGCTTTCGGTAAAGTCACATTGAAGGGAAACAATAAAATAATAAAATATATAAAACAATAAAAAAAATTCTCACGACGTTTCGACCATAACACAAACGGTCGTCATTAGGTGTGTCGGTTTGCATTAATTTATTTATTTTTAAAACGGTGTATTTATTTATAAAAAAACGTCAGCGCCACGCGCAGCGATTTGGCAGTTTATTTAGAAGGACTAGTCCATCTATGTTCTGAAAAGAGGAGGGGGGAGACGAAAAATTAATGTATGCTGTCTGAAAGCCACTGTAAGCGTGAACAATCAATTAAGACCTGAAATGGTTGATCAAATCTTTCCAATGATTGCTAAGCCAGAATCCATCTTCTCGGTTGAAATTGTCTCTGTGCTTGTATATGTGGATAGCCTCATGAACGAATCTCTCATGGTAGACAGATGGCTTACAAAGAACCTCTGTCTTGGAAGATCATTGTTATAATTCAGTAGGCTCACATGACATTGACTTTTCCAAGACAGAGGTTCTTTGTAAGCCATCTGGCTACCATGAGAGATTCGTTCATGAGGCTATCCACATATACAAGCACAGAGACAATTTCAACCGAGAAGATGGATTCTGGCTTAGCAATCATTGGAAAGATTTGATCAACCATTTCAGGTCTTAATTGATTGTTCACGCTTACAGTGGCTTTCAGACAGCATACATTAATTTTTCGTCTCCCCCCTCCTCTTTTCAGAACATAGATGGACTAGTCCTTCTAAATAAACTGCCAAATCGCTGCTCGTGGCGCTGACGTTTTTATAAATACACCGTTTAAAAATGAATAAATTAATGCAAATCGACACACCTGATGACGACTGTTTGTGTTATGGTCGAAACGTCTTGAGAATTTTTTATTGTTTTATATATATTTTATTATTTTATTGTTTCCCTTCAACGTGACTTTACCGAAAGAGCTAAGAATATAAAAGACGAAGTAGTTAGCGGTGGAGAGAGCGTAGCGATAGCGAAGGTGAACAAAGACGAAGTAGTTAGCGGTGGAGAGAGCGTAGCGATAGCAGAGCTGAAGACGAGAATAGCCCGCGGTGCAGAGAGCATAGCGATAGCGGAGCTGAAGACGAGAATAGCCCGCGGTGGAGAGAGCGTAGCTATAGCGGAGCTGAAGACGAGAATAGCCAGCAGTGGAGTGAGCACAGTGACGGTGATAGCGGTGAACAGGGATGAGGCAGTAGCAGTGGAGTGAGCATAGTGACGGTGATAGCGGTGAACAAACACAAAGAAGTTAGCAGTGGAGAGAACATAGCGGCGGTGATAGCGGAGAGCGGAGACGAAGAAGTTAGCGGCGGAGTAAGCGAAGTAATCGTGGAGAGTAAGCGAAGGGAGTAAGCGAAGTAATCGTGGGGAGTGGAGAGACAAAGGTGGCGAGCGAGTCGAGTGAAGCACGACGGTGAGCGAGCCGTGGCGACCTGGATACTGTGGAATGTGGAGGACATGCGGAGAGTTGTAAATAAAGCGGTGTTCGGAGAAAGACAGAAGTTGTCCGAGTGAAATCGAACACTACACATGTAATGCACATTTTTTTCTGCATGACTCCCCCATTCTGCCTACTTCTCCCCCATGGATTTATTTTATAGCCAGCTTACGTTCTTATTAATTATGAAAGTAAACGCTGTATTCAGTAAAATGAAAAAAAAATCCTTTTGTACCATACAGCCCTCATTCAAGAAAGCATCCATTTCCATTGCATTGTGCCGACAGGATACGACCCTGCTATTATACAGTCTCAGTTTAAGCAGCACCAAAACTGAATCCAGTTATAGAACACTATTTAGCATCTCATTAAATGGCATTCTATGCCATCCGCGCGATAACACGGCCTAAAGGTAATTAATTCGCAGGGTCACGGTTCAAATCCAGCAGCTGCCTTGATTAATACTGTGGGTGCAAAACCATACTAAATAACCGTAAAAATACGCGCCATCTTCTTCACAGTGGACATTAAACATCCCATGACATCATTCACTGGAATAGGCCATTGTGTGCCCCTGTAATGGTTCAAATTGCAATTTACACGCCAATATTGGCAGGAGCTTCCTAAAAAAAACAGTCAGGAGGCTCAGTGAGGCCTTTCTGGGGTCACAAGCACAATTAATAACAAAGTAGATGTATTCTTAGTTTTTTTCAACGTGACTTTACCGAAAAAACTAAGAATATGAATTACTGCAGTCACGAAAGCTTTAAATCAAAAAGTAGATGTAGTTAAATACAATTACGTGACATTTCATATTGTGCGCGATTACTATTTTGAGCTGTGTTCCATCATTTTGTGTCAAACTGGAATCCCATCACAGCAAGCCTGCCTCTGCTGACGAGAAACCAGGCACGTCGGCATCGGGCCACAGTTTGCTCGTCTTGAAACAACGCTGCTGAATTTACGTACTGCCATAGGGCTGTGCGACTGATGGGTTGTGTAAGAATAATTAGTTTTTTTTTACATGGACAGACGAATATCAGAAGGAGACACATTGGCTGCTTATTTATTTTGACATTTGAAAAATCATCCACGTTAATCAGCTGATGTTTAAAGAAGGCTTGATCCTCACATGGCAGTTAATTCCACTCCGAACCGTGTTACGTTTTTGCAGTTAGTCTATGCCGCACAGATGAAAGGATCTACAAATTATTGAGATCATCAGCCATGGTCAGTCCACTGCTGGATGAAGGCCTTCCCAAGCCGCCGCCACCTCTCAGTCGATGTCCTCTCAGTCAGGTTTAGTTCCTTAGTTGCCAATATAGTTTACGTATATGCTATTATATAAATTGCATATAAATCAGTATCTTAAATGTAATTTTTGTCATCACACAAAAAAGAAAGCCCCTCATACTTCTTATTCAAAAACAACGGATCCCTATGAAAGTAATTGATATTGTTTTATTTAAGGGCACACTCAATGACCATAACCCATCACGCAAACTCCAGTCATCCTCGCAGCGGCTTTTGCGTAACCATCAAAGAAATACGGTCATCACATCGCGCGCTTTAATATGCGCTTCTGTGGCTGTCTGGAACGCTCTTCCTTCCTATATTAGGAAGCCACTAGAGCTATGCACTTTTAAATCTAGATTGAAAACTAATTTCTTCAGAATTGCTGTGTTTAGTTTGTTTCCCTTCCCCCACACCTCCCATTAGCACGGTTGGCTACGTACGGTGCGAAAGAGGTTCAACATACATACAAAACAAGCACAATTTTGGGATTTACCACCAGAGGAACAACTCACCTGTTTAAAGTTTCCGACAGGAGTCTTAGATAGTACACCATTACTCAGAGGGTCCTGAGTCAGGGACCTCGTGTCGGCATGATACGGCACTCCATTGGCCACATCGTCTGTGCTTCCGTACAAACCACCATAGCCTGCCGACTGTGTGGCTACTCGCTCATAGGCCCCGTTCGTTTTTGCCGGCTCCTCGTGATGCCTTTGCTCCCTGGAGAGGGGCATCTCGGGGATGCTGACAATGTGCATGACCACCACCGAAGACAAGACGATGGCCACAAACAGGTAGATGACGTGGTACTCCGAGCCAAAGGCAGGGCCCAGGGAAGTGCTCTTCCAGTCAATGGCACCCGTTAGGTACCCGAGTGCTCCGCCAAGTCCTGGAGGGGGGAAGTGAGGCAGTGATTTCAAATGGATTGCACGGTCGTTCCGCGAAATCTGTAAAGTGCACGATGAAACACAATTTACAAATGTTTTGGAATTTGCAGCAGCATTTTTTTTTGGGGGGGGGGATGGGGGCAAGTGACGAACATCAATTCCCTTTCGCTGTCTAACAATTACGGTTGAAGCATGGAGGCACTTTGGTTTATCCATAAAGTGTAGGTGATCCCAACTGTTTCATGATGTCTGTCCAGCGTGGAAGAGTAGGCTAAATACCCTCTAGAGGGTCTCTCTAGAGCTCCCTCTAGTGGAGGCCCTTACACCAGCAGTGGGGTGAGCAAGCATTTGACTCCCGCATCCTTTACATGCTGTGCATCTTTACCTTATGTATGAATTATGATATGAAATACAAATAACGATTTTACACAGCAGTAAAATAGATAGTGTTTATCAGTTAAAGGCATCTAAGCCATAAAAACTCTTTGCACCGCTTGTTAAATTTCATAATTTTTTTTATTGAATTTACAAACAACATTAATATATTCATAAACAAGGTTTTTGGGTTAGATCGCGTAAGTATAAATGTGTCACAACCCTCCACCACCCGACACGGCCAATCAGTAAGAAATGTGCCACGTTAACAAAACGCAAATTAGTTACTTCTTCAACCCACCGGTGTGTTTGAAGAGTGAGTTCACAACATTTACAATTTGAGTACTGTGACGTTTCGCTGGTAATGACATCCAGTATCTTCGGGCGATTTGCCAGAATAGTGAAGCCATCCACCTTCTTCCGATCTTAAATAGTGCAGGACGACGTCATCATTGTTGAACCCCACCAGGTTTCGAGATCAAAGGCGGAGGTGGGGGGGTCTTGTAATTATATAAGAGGTTAGTAATCAGTTAAGTAGTATGTGATTTCTCTATAAGGAATTGTAATATGTATTACTTAATAATACGCTTTGATAGCTACAGGCTTAGCACAGACTGGAAGCATATTATTAATTAACTAGCGGGAAGTACCCGGCGTTGCCTGGGCGAAAAAGACGGACACACACATCGACTTACACACACTTACAGACATTGACCCACAGACACAAACATAGACTTACACACACACACACATATGGACTCACACACACAGACACCGACTTTAGATACACACACATGGAGTTACGCACACATATCAACGTGCACACATACAGCGACACACACACACACATCGACTCACACAAAGACATACATAGACTCACACTCACATCGACCTACACACACAAATGGACTTACACACACAGACATCGACTCACACACACACATGGACTCACACACACACACATCAGCATACACACACATCGACTCACACACACACATGGACTCACACACACACACATCGGCATACACACACATCGACTGACACATAGAGCCACACTCACACATCGACTGACACGCAGACATATTGACTTACACACACAGCGACTCACACACAGACACATAGACTGACACACACACACATAGACTGACACACACACTTGGACTTACACACAGACACATCGACGTACACATACATTGGCTTACACAACAACAACCGCCATTCGCCACTAAGTGGCGGTGACGTCACAACGACGCTTGTGCCAGGCTTACACACACATGGACCCACACACACACACATCGACTTACACACAGACATATGGACTCACACACACAAACACGATCCCCCCGCCCGCTCTGCAGTAATATCTACGGCCTATATTGATAGCATCTACCGACTGTAAAGTAGTAACTGTACGCATCGGGGTGGGGGGGGGGACTTCACACTGTGAAGAATTTAGCTCAGCGTTTTGGGTATTTTTTTAATTGCATTTTTAACGCGAAAGAAAATGTCCACCCCCACCAAACGCGTGTGACTTGGTAGGGCCCCCCCCCCCCCCCCCACCGAAGGCGTGTGAGTTGGTATGGTCGAGCATGCCAAAGTAAATTAATTAATAAATACAAATCGCACTGAATTGTTAATTTAGCTACTTTAAAGTTGACGGACGGGAAAAGGGAATAGCGCTTGCTCACCACGAGGCTTAAGGCTTGGTACCTGGCTATTTTTTTACGTAAACCCCACCGTTTGAGAGCAAAATCCTTCGCAAGAGTGCGAACACACACACAGACAGACAACAAATTACATTTATAGGTAAGATACACAATACATATTACAATTCCTTATGGAGAAATCACGTACTATGAATAATACTGGTCGCGAAAGCCTACGTGTTAAACATTTACACAACATGCAGTGAGTGCATTGCTTATACTGAAATATAATTAAAAAAATACTTTCACACATCTTTCGATAAAAAAATACACTTCATCGCCTCACAGGGTTAGTCAATTTGGAGAGATTAAAATCCATTTGCGATTGGATCTCGTAACACAGTGTTTGTATTCCACGTGGGTACCTGTCAGCAGAGCCTGCATCTGCAATCCCCGCTCCTTGTCAGCGTGAACGCAAACATCAAATAGATAGGCTTTAATGGGGCCGTCAATAAAGTCAGCGGAGAAGTCAAACAGCACCACTCCAAACATGCAGATCACGATGGCCCAAGTTGGGCTATTGTTCTCGGAAATTTCTGTCGCGAGAAGACGAGAGCGATTGCACGACGGTGCCTTAGTAAGAATGCGTGGGTCAATATTAGCGTTCAAAAAACCGTCAGCCACTCCAGAGAAGAAGCGGGTCATCGAGTCAAACGGGGTTCCACTGAGCCACCAGGAAACCCGGATGCTTACTCAGTTTTGGAGTTTATCCACTGCACATTCTGCCAATTTAAATAATTCGCCAGCTGGTTGCAGTTTAGATATACGGTGGGCTATGTTTGTGGCCCAGCTCCAGAACTGGCTTTGCCAAATTCCCCATTGTCCAGTGGCCCAGTGCAGGCCTTGGATCAAAATTATGTTTTTTTTAATTTCAGTTTCCTTTTGCCATTTGTGAATAATGTAGCCCATTCTTATTATCTTTGTATATTGCCTTTCCTTTTACAACATGCATAATCAATGGGATGTAATACAGCACCGACACAAACCTGCTTACCAATCTAGCATAATCTGCTGCAATAAATCTTCTCCAGTCATATTCACAACATATATATCATGTTCTGCATCGAACGCAACTCATGTGCAATAATATTAATAATTAACATAGCAATTCTGAGCTTGAAATTTCAAATATCAATATCTTTCAAATTATTACCGAGTATTTCTTTCTTTTACTGTGCCATGTAAACATGTCTGCTAAAAGTACAATTTCCAGTTTTCACCATGGTTGTTCATTCTGACATTATGGTGGTGACATGGGACTCGCATGAGCGCACACGTGGCTTATTCCAGAGATGCACGGTTGGAATCCATCGGTCATCCTGATTTATACGATGGGTGTATTAACCATATGTTGTGCAGTAGAACCACGCGGAGACGAGGAATACTATAAGGGCGGCTGCTGTTTATTAAACACTGTTACACTCAGCACTCTATGTTCACACCAGGGGTAGAGGTGCTCTCTATCTCGGTCCTTTACCCCGGACACTGAATGCTATCTGGGTCCTGCCCCCGGCTATCCTTTGGGGCTCTCTCACTCGTCTGCCAGGAGCGGGGGTTCAGCCAACAACCACTTCCGCGACGAGGAGAGAGGAACCCTCTCCTAACCGACCCTTACTGAATACTCGGGACCCTACCCTCCACTATCCCCTTGGCTCTCCCACTCGTCTGCCCGGAGCGGGGGTTCAGCCAACACCGCTCCGCGACGAGGAGGGAGAGACACCTTGCAGCCGATCCTTGCCCTGGCTCCCCACAACGACCACGCCTTCGTCACGGGGTCCCCCTTAAGTACACCTTTGGCGGCTCCTCCCCCTGGCTCGGACCCGCCTTTGTTCCCGAAGGTGCCTCTTACACCACCCGTGACATGACGTCATCCTTGACTGTCAACCCGCTCGCACCACCTTCTGTTCGCCCCCTCGTGGTTACTCAAAGTGCTCCTCTACACATCGATAATATGCGACCATCTACTTCACACAAAGTGCTTGCCGCAAATGAACCACAGTACCTTGCTAGTCTCGTCAAGAAGCATAAACCATCAGGCAAATTCTGGCCATCTTCGCAGCGGCTTTTGGCGAGCCATTGAACAAAGGCGATTTCTACGTCACAAGCTTTCAGATACGCTTCCGCAGCCGTCTGGAATGCTCTTCCTTCCGATATAAGGAAGCCACTGGAGCTATGCACTTTTAAATCTACTCAATTAGTTAGAACTGCTTTGTGTTTAGTTTGTTGTCCTTCCCTCGCACCTCCGATCACCAAGGTTGGGCGACGTAAGGTGTGAAAGAAGTTCAACATAGCTACGAAAAGATCCTGTGGCGTCAAATTACCGCCTTTAAAATAAACACAGCAATCATGGCCCCCTACTGTGAAAACTTAACAGGACACCTCCTTCAAAAATTGCGGTGAGACTCAGTGAGGCTATCCTGGGTAAACATGCACGCTCACGGACAAATGCCACCACCATCGCAGTGAAACTGACCCGAAATGATGGAGTCGCCGTTGAGAAACAGCGTCATCCCCGTTAGCATGAGCACCGCCAAGGCCACGATGTACGGCCTGCGGCGCCCGAACCTCGAGCGGCAGTGATCGCTCGCTGAGCCGATGATCGGCTGCAGCACGAAGCCCAGCAAGGGGCTGATGAACCATACGACGCCGTACAGGCTCCGCGGGAGACCCACGCTGAGCAGCACCGGCATCACGAACGCAGCTTCCACCGCATAGCAGAACTCCCGGCCAAACATGATGACGCTGTGCATGAGCAGCCTGCTCGTCGGTTGCCTCGCACGTTGCTCCTCGACGAGGACGCTATCGCCTTCGGAGTTTGCCATGCTTGTGCACGCGCGTGTCTCGTCCACAGCACGTTGCGGTAAAGTCCTTTCTTTTGTTTTATAGCGCCCACCGTTTGTGAGGACGAATGAGTTTGTTCAGCGCGTTCGGAGGCACGGTGCGTCAAGAAGAGATTAAACCCGAGGGCCGGCAAAAAGTCTGCCCCTCGGCTTGGCACGGGATTGCTGGTCATCTGACCATCACTCGTGAGACTCGGAATCACACCACATTCATTCCATCGCAGAAATGTGCTTAGTCTATGCGCTGTTGCACACACAGCACAGTGAAGTTCTTGTGTAAGGTCATGGGTTCACAGATTTTCCACGTGGCATCCACACTTTTGTTGTTTGTTGCTTCAGATTATTGAAACTTTCTTACAGTCATATTTGTATTGTGCAGCTAAAGAGAAAGAATATTAGTGCTGTATTCGAAAAAGGATTTTAAAATTTCTCTGTGGCTTTTTCAGTTTTGTAAGGTTAGGTAGTGCTTCGCTATACATTTGGTTCACTATTTCATCTCTCTGAAGTCAGTAAATAAAGCGTACATTTGGTGTGAAAACCAATTATTATCCACCACACTATGTTTTGTAAACGTGGAATTTCAAGCACATTTTTACAGATGTATGGAAATATCCAAAACAGTGATTTTATGGGACACCACTTCACATCACGTGTAAAACCATAAATCCTTTTGCATGCTTGACTTTATATATATATAAAAAAAACAACAGATGTAATATTCAGTCTCAAGAGACACAAGCGCACGCACGTAATCGTGTTGTATTGAATCAGGACTTCAAGCCGAGAATCTGGGCCAGCAGCCTTCACTTTTGGCCAATGCAGGATGATTGATTTTGTTGCATGTCAGCTGCTATGAGGAATTGGTGTAGGACAGGCAGGGACATAATTCAGTAAATACAACAGTTATTTTAGTCTGGGTTCAAAATAACAAAAAAAATATATAAAAACTAAAACTAGTCACAAATGTCACGATATGAGTCGGGAGGGGTGGAATGGTGGCACAGTGGGTCATGAAACAAACAACCTGAATTAAATTCCCGGCATGGCTAAGTATGGGCAGCAACCTTGATGAGTGACATGGTATGAGCAGGTTTTCATTGGGAGATGCTTTATAAAGGAAAACCATTATTACTATCTATTATTATGTTACTATAAATTTAGAACAGATAGGAGCAGGATGGCAAGCGTTACGTAATTCATCTCGAAATGCCTTCAATTAATTTGCTTTCTACTTGTAAACATTGTAAGACAATTTCACTCCCATGTGTTTACCTTTTTTTCCATCCACTTTATGTGTTCCTAAAAGATGACATCCCTGGGCATAATGACTCATGAACTGTTTATGCCTGTTCTTCCAGCACTGCTTTTCCTGACCCAGGACAACACGGCAGCAAATAATATTGTAAGCGTGTGGGTGCCCATGCTCCAAGATGTCTGCTCGCTGATGTTTCTTTTTTCCAAAAATGCTCAAATTATTTGAAAAATCTAAAGCAGCACGGCACTACTAATTTGAGCAAATCAAGGATTCCTTGTGACCCTTGATTTAAAGGCTGACGACATTTGACATGCCTTGAACAACATAATGGCTCAAACCCTAATATAAGCCCAACGCGAGCTATTTATGGTATTCCGTTTTACTCAATTCTAATTCTACCTCGTGTCCAAGTGGCTTTATGTGTAATCGCTTGCCTCTTGGGAATGTGTGTGCAGTAAAATGGCTTTGCCTGTCCATGGCAAGAAGAGTCACATGAGCTTAATTCGTGGAGTCTGTGTGAACAAACATTTCCCGAGGCTGGACGCTATCCATCAAAGATCCAACATTAAAGAAAAAACCTGGAGGAGCTGTCTCATCATTTATGGAGCAGGAATCAGCCCTCATCGCCTCTCAGTCGAGTGGCTCTGTTACGTCACACAATGACCCCCTTTAGGGCCACGAGCAGCTCGGCGAATCTCTCGTTCTACTGTGGCGTTCCTATCTCTTTTTTTGCCCGGTCGATAGGTACACATTCAATAAACCAATAAACAAGGGGAAGCAACGACCTCAAACCGAGACATTTATATTGCATACGCATATATATCTGTGTGCGTGTGTAAAGGAGCATTTAAAAATGAAGCATGCATCTTTTAAACGTAAAACTGCTTTTAATAATCAAGGTGATACAAATAAGAATTTAATGCCATTTGTTAATCAACTGCTGGATGAAGGCCTCTTAGTCCTTTCGGGCTTGGGGGAGGGAGAGTGGCGGCGACCATAACCACTGCGTCGCTGCTCCACCTCACTTGCATTTATGCATTTGTGTCGTTTGCGTGACAATTTCGAAAATAGTATTAATAATTATTTACAACCCTTTGTTAAGCCACTGCTGAAATGAGAGTCTTAGCATGCTATTTCGATCATGGAGGTTGTTTTACCATACTTCAGCAGTGATATCGTCCGGTTCAATAACCACTGTTCCACTGCTGATCCACACTTGCATGTACAAATATCTGTGGTTTGTGTGACGTAGTGTAAAAAAAATGAATCCCAGCCCTTTTTTATCAATATCCTGCTGGTTGAAGGACATCTAATGCCTTTTTAGTTGTGGAGGTTATTCAACCATACTTCACCCCACTGATTGGTTATTGGTTTGTGAACGGAGGTGGGCCCAGGGTCAGTCGAAATCACCATTGATGCGAGTTGTGGCCAAAATTCAAGTCACAGGGTTCATCGTGCAGCGCGTGCACTCCACTGCAACTACTCCACAAAAAAGGAAATATAATTAGAGAATGTACAATGCCATAGTTTCAAATTTTCAGTGTTTAAAAATATCCTCTCGGTATATATTTCAAATCTCCACTTTGTTAATGTTCCAGGGAACATTGCAAACTGGTTTGCGTCATGTTCCTAACAATAGAATACGCTTTTAAGCCACCCTGTACATTCACATATAACGTTTAGTTTTCTGCTGTTGAAGTTAATGAGATCCCCTCTCTAATTCTCTCGCTAGCACAGTGGCACTGTAAAGGTAGATGGGATTGCTCCCAGCGTTTTCAAGCTTGCTGCTCTGGTACTTACACATCTCATAAGAAAAACTTTCAATGCTAACCAGTGGAGTGAGCGACTTCTGAGACACGTCGTGTAGACAGCTTCTTATTTATTCTCACACTGGTTACAACACTGGACGTTACACAGAACGTATCTACATGGCTACACATAGCCGACCCTTCTACACAACCCCATCGTCGGTGTCTAACTGCACTGCTGTCTGACTAGCGTAGCGAAGACGACGATGAGAGCCGTACAGAGGATCGGCCACACGGCCGGACGACGAAGAGAGATGATGGTGAGCAGCGACGCAGCCAGGACCCAGGACCCAGGACCTGCAACAGCCGCGAACCTCTTGTTCCATCCCCCTTATATACCTCCCGGCGTGGCCAAGCCCCACCTCCAGCCACGCCCCCTTCTATAACTTTCGAGCAGGTTCCCAGAGCTTTCTGACTGACTCCGCCTTTCACCTTCACCCCAGATATGCCCCCCTTCTAGTTAGTATTATATGCTCATACCCGCGATTACCCCTCCAGGCTGACAGGTGGAACCCTGTTATTACACTTGTACAATTCCTTTGGGCTTGAAAAGCAGAGTTTATCTCTCCCATACTGAAGTCTGATGATTGCACTTTCCCTCAAGAAATTGTACATGCTAGCAGTACAATGCTACGGAATGTTGTGGCCAAGAAATCGATTACATTTATAAACTGCCACAATGTATTGCCTCAATATCTGTTTGGCTTTTGTAAGCAGCAATATATTTGATGAATTGGTACAGTAGTATGTGTGGAGAGGCCTTGTATTGCCTTATGCGATGTTTTCTGCTCGGAAAGCTTCCAACTCCGTGCCACGTGAACTTCTTAAACCCTTAATTGGATGTGAGGATCTGTCATGAACGATCTACCTTCAGTTATGTGTTCGCTCACAGACCTCTAGCCCAAACTAAGATCTAATAACTGCAAGAGAGGGGGCCAGATGAAATTTGCCTCGAAGATGCCTTGAAACAAAATCTGCACAAAGTGAACAATGCTCACTCGAACTTCAAGCAGCTGTAGACTCCCTCCCCATATAAATCATCACGCCTCTACGCACGGTCCCCACTTGGCTGGTGCAGTGAGTCTCCCCCCCCCCCCCTCCCCTCTTATACGTACGGTCCTACCACGCCAAATTCGAGTTTTCGCGGAGTTTCTATTCCCCTCCAATATCGATCGGCATATTGTACCGGGCTCGCGTTTTGTGGCGACAAACTCAAAAAAATAGAAGCAGCTGTCGACTGACCACCGCATGGTACGGTGCCATTAAAGATGTTGCAAAGAATCGTGTCGCGTGATCGGAGATGCGACGCCACTGATAGAGAAACGGCATTCATCTCAATCAGTCCAAATGGGCGAAGTGACCTGTGGAAGCCACATTGAAGGCCCAGAGGAGACAGCCGATGATCGTTCAGGTCATCCTCAAAACACCAAGGGACTGGAGCGAGATTAACAAGTGTCAGGCCTTCTTCGCTGAGGCCAAAAAGCTGTTCTCTACTCAAATTGCGGTCGCTTATTCCATTGGTTCCTGTGCTATCGCATTTGAATCGACGCAATATCCTCTTCGCCAGAATTAGCTCATAACAAAGGGTAAACAAATATAGGGGATCAAAAGTGCTCACCAGATCATTCTCCACAATTCATCACTAAAACTCCTGGGTTTAGTTGTATAAGAAACTCAATATCTGGAATATCGCGATTCAGTAGTCCCTCGGTTAGCATTTTGTTTACGTTCCACGAAAACGAATCTTGACGGAAATAACCGTTAATTGAATACTGTGTAGCAATTTAATGTTAAAATCATTCATCCGTAATGTAATCGAAGCCAGTCGAGGTCTATGGGCGTCATTGATTGGCTGAGGGCACGCTCAGCTCCACGTACGAGCACTTGGATTGGCCTAAATCGGCGTCCACGTGCGTAACGTGAATGTACCGCTCATCAACGTGAGTCGAAGCCATGGGGTCCTACGGGAGGCGAAACGTTCACCGAAAAAAACGTTAACCGAGGGACTGCTGTAAATCATATTTCTACGACTAAATTCATCCTGGATGCACCTGATACCATTGATCTCAAAAAGCTATGCAGGTTTGGACCTGGTCAATACTTGGATGGGATGCTGCCTGGGAATACCAAATGTTACTGGCTTGAGCTGCAAGCTGGCCAGCACACAGTAGTACAGATAATTTATTATTAAATTAATCAGTGTAGAGCTTTAAGTGGTACCCCTTTTATGTGTAGGTTACCTGGCAGGCGCCATGGTGGCTATGAGATGTTAACTCCCTTGTCTGTCTTGATTTGAAGCTTTCGTGACTGCAGGAATCCATACTCTTTGGTTCTTTCGGTAGAGTCACGTAGGTAGAAAATAAAATTAATCACGACGTTTCGGGTGCAACACAAGCGTCCGTCATCAGGTTTGAAAGCATGATCTTCTGCTGAGGCAGACTGGTATACAGGAGGTCGTGGGTTCGATCCCGACCCTGACGCCTGATGTTTATTTCGAGTTTGTATGCTCTCCCCGTGGTTGCGTGGATTTTTCTTCGGGTCCTCCAGTTTTTCGATCCATATATTTCCACGTGATAAGCCACTTCGTTGAATTATCGTTTGTGGCCAGGTCGCTTCTGAAAATTTAGAAGAGCTATATAGCTCAGTGGGCCTTACCTGGTAAAGTAAAAATAGTTTAGTCTAAAAATAGTTTAATTTATAGTTGATGTGT